TCTCTTCTGTCTTCATTTCGTCCGTCTCATCTTTCTCACCCGAACCACCACCCACCCATTCCCACGATTCCTGAAAGCAGGCTGAAGAGGGCCTTCCGCCCTACCTTCCGGCATAGTTCGGAGGGACTGCCCGCCCACCAGAATTACTGGCTGGTGGGAATGAAACACCCAAAAGTTTTGTTTTTTTTTTAGTACAGGCACCGAACGGCATGGCTTAGAGGTTTAGACCATTGCTTGGCATTCGGGAGGACGCCGGTTCGATTTCGGGTCCGTCTGCCTTGGTTCAAGTTTTTCTGTGGTTTCCTTGGATCACTTAGGTAAATGCTGGGGCAGTACTACTCCACATAAAGTCTTTAATTCTCCTCTGTCTTCGTTTCGTCCGTCTCATCATTCTCACCCGAACCACCACCCACCCATTCCGCCCTACCTTCCGGCGTAGCCGGAGGGACTGCCCGCTGACCAGCATTACTGGCTCGTGAGAATGAAACACCCAAAAGTATTTTTTTCCGGTTCAGACTCGTAGCTTCGCTTCTAGCACGTGTCCATCCATCCCTTTAGAGGTGGACCACCTATTCCGACGGTTTTCCTTCCCAATATTCCCTCTCCCCCCACGCTTTACCATTTTCAACCCTCTCTTCAACCCCAACTTTCCATTGTCTTCCCGCGGATGAGTAACTGTAATGGTTTACCTCTCCTCTCGAGGAGGGTTTTTAGTCGGTAAATATCCGACACTACCGCCCTTCAGGGGCTGTCTTTTGAAGATTTCTCCTCTTCGAGAATAATCTAAACAAGAAAAAGCTCAGTTTTACTCAATTCTTGTTTCGCTCTTTAGCGCGAGTACCCACCCTACTGTTTGTGAAGGGACACCTATTCTCACCCACATCATCCCCCCCCAAAAAACCTCCTGCCCATTTTTATTTCTCCCTCTCCCCAGTCTTCCTTTGGGAGTCACAGCCTTAGAGATGACCTCCCTACTCGAGGAGAGGTTTTAGTCGGTAGGCGTTTCGACGAATCCGACACTACCCCCTTCAGAGTGTGTAC